GAGTCCACTATTTCTGTTTTTAAGAACTCAGTTTTAAACTTATCGTCTGGAAAACAAGGTTCTTGCATGCATATTTTGTTTGGGCAACTTAACTTAACTAATAAGATCAATTCTTTATTGTTGTTTTTAATCTGATGGAGATTTTTCTGTTTTTTTTTTAAGCCAATTTTCCAAATTGCAACCTTAAACATAACATTTTTTCTTATATAATTAGCTTAAGTTTTTGTTTATTTTAATATAAGATGACATTAAATTAATATATAATTAGGAAAATGTGACACTTGATTAAAGTGCAACTTAAAATTGATCGCAGATTGAGCTTACCTCAGCCCATTGGCAAATCCAATCAAAAGCACCAATCTTCAAGTATATTCCTGCTGCTTAAATGCTCACATAAAGTTAACAGACCAATTAATTATGGTCATTGAGCATTGGGAGACTGTGTGACAGCCATGAAACACGAGCGATCGATGCAATACAACGGTGCCCCAATCCCATATCCCGAATCCCAATCCCAGACACACACACACACAACAGCAACGACAACTTGAAGTGGCAGGCTATGGCTGGAAACTTGGACTTGGACGTGGGACATAGTTGATGTGAATGTGGATTGGGATCAGTTGGGATCGGGAACGGGAACGGGAACGCGAACGGGAACGAGGGACCACACACATCGTGTGTGTGACGGCGATAAAAATCACAGCATGTTGCAAACAGCACAGAACAGCGATGCATGATGCTGTTGTTGCTGTGGGCAAATCTTTTGACAGTTGTGTTGAAGCATAAAGATGCCAAACAACAACAGCAACAACAGCAACAACAACAACAACAAGAACCATAATAAAAGCAACAACCACACGGCTAGTAAGTGCGTGAAAATATATATGTATAAATGTGAACCGCCGTCACAGAGGCCCCAGCACCAAAAGCGCATCAATCAAACGGCACCGCCAACGCCGCAAAGCAATCTCCAACGAACACACACACACACACACACATACACACACACACTCGCAGTTATTTCGATCAATCATTTATTATGGCGTCGCTGATGGCGGCCCCATCAGGCTTCGTTGGTGGGCACCGGAATCCCCCAAAGAAAATAGTAAAATATTTTCTATGGTACCCTTATACAAGTAATTATTATTTTTATTCATTTTTTGTCTTGTATCATTTTTTTGTGTTTGCTTTTGCGGCTTTATTGACTATGTTTTGGGGTGGCCTGGCCATTTGGAGCCACTTAAAAATTGTATTTTGAATTGCTTGTTCGATCCAAAAATAAGACGCCAACAAAATAGACATTTAAAATGCCTCACACATGCTGACATTCAACAAGTGATAATGCACATTAGATCGACAATTGAAGCAATAATGTTTTTAAGATCAGGTCTACATATATATCACCCAATTATATCAATTTCCTTAACATGTTTTTTGAATAACTTATGTGCATTTGATCACCATAAAAATGTACATCAATTTTGTATTTAATCTAACTTAAATCAGACCAGAATTTAAAAATAAAATATTAAATTAAATTTAAAATATAGTTGGAAAAAATTGTATATAATTAAAATGAAGTAATTAAATTAATAATTTAAGATGGCAAGAAAATAAAATTAAATTATTAAAGGGATATGTTAAGTCGTGTGGTAATAAACTGTAAAATAGTCCATCGTTTTAAGTATACAATAAGCCCAATCAAACTTAAAAAAATATTAAGCGTTTGAGGAAAATAAAATGTTAAGAACTCAGAGAGAAAGAGACAGAAATAGCGAGAAAATATAAAAAATCTCTGAACCCTTTGGAACAAGATAAGATTACCACAGATATAATTATTTAATTTTATGCACACTGTGAGAAAAAGTCAAGAATATTCAGACAAACCAACTAAGCTAATCTGTTGACCCTGATCAGTAAGGAAATAAAACTTGATTTGGCTATATACCACTTGAATCTCTGATGCAGGGTATAGAAAATATTAAAATTCTTTCTACGGTTTGATCAAATTAATTGCAGCACACAGCCAAATACACAACAAGATGCTCACAAATGAAAATACAAAAAAAATATGGAATAAATAACAACAGCAACAACAACGAAAAATTAAGCACGCAACTTTGGCCGCCCAAGTTGGCCAAAACGCTGTTGGTGGGCTGCTAACGTCGACGGCGGCTGCGCTGCTCTTGTGAGCGGTGAGTAAACATGAAATTTAGTTTGGCTGCTCTATTGAAATTGTTGTTTGCTGTAGCGCTTTTATTGCCACATAAATATGGAAATTTTTCATTAGCAATATCCGTTTCCGATTTATCTTAATGGAGTCCCAGAACTATCTTGTTGTTGTTGCTGTTGTTGTAATTAAGAATGGGCTACCGTTTTTTTTTTTGGCGTGGACCGGAGATTCCAACAAACATGTTGCATAAGCAACGCCGACGTCGACGTCGACGTCGAAATCAACGTCGAGTTGGGCTCTGTGTGTGGTCCTCTGATTGAATGTTAAAGCTTTGGCCAATGAAAGCGGCTATTAAGTCTGGCCAGCCAACCAAGACACAGTTGGCAACTTGGGTGGCAACATGCCATTCACCAATCACACACACACACACAAGGAACAGCACAGCATAGCACAGCAGCTCTGTGTCTGTGTATGTCGGCGGCGGCGCCGCAAAAAAGAAAGCGCGTGCAACAGCAACAACAACAACAACAACAGCAACAAAAAGCAGAAGGAGAAGCTGAAGCTGGAGCAGCAAGGGGGAAAAAACTCAACCGACCGGAACTGCAACTGGCGCTATATGCAATTATAAGCTGCATGTGTTCCTCTCTCCTTCTCTCTCTCTCTCTCTCTCCCTCTTCCTCTTCCTCTATGCATATACATATATATATATGTGCGTATATATATATATATATATGTGTGTGTGTGTTCAGCAACAATAACAAACAGTAGCCAAGATTTTCCTTCGCCAAAGATTGACAGAAGCAGCGGCAACTGCACTTGAAACTACACTGCTAGAAATTAAGCGAAATCAAAATAATCGTTCTTACAAGTATTTTTGTACCTAAAGCGATTAAATTTGATTTTTGATGAATCTATATCTATATGATATATGACATAAATATCGTATTTCATATTGATTACAAAAATCTTTAAATATTTCTTGAAAACGAAAATGTTTTAAAAGCAGACCAATAAAACTGCAAAAATCTCAAAATAATCTTAAACAGAGGAATTTCGGAATTGCAAAAAAGTCTTGACCAACATTTTTCGTTTTCTAGTCTAGGATTTTAATGTGATTACAAAAGTCTGTATAATTTTTGCAAGTGTAGTCGCTGTTTGGGTATTGGGAGCGGGGACCACCGAGCAGAGAGATGATGTGTCCAGAGATCCCAAGCTGCTAACTGCTGAGCAACATGTTGATGCTGCTGTTGTTGTTGCTGCTCTTGTTGTTGCTGTTGTTATATTTTGTTGCTCATCTTTGTTGCGCTTTGTTTTTGATCTTTCACGCTGTAAATTATACAGCAGCAGCAACCGCAAACAACATCAATTTTATTTGCTGTTTGTTGTTTTTGTTGTGATTGCTTTGATGCAAATTGTAGTTGTTGTTGTTGTTGTTGTTGTTGCCTGGCTGCTATCTGCTATCTGCCTGGCTGTCAACAACACAAATAATTGTTGGCAACATTGCATGTGAAACGGTTTTTCTTGTGTTGGCAACACAACGTTTGCTTGTCATCATTTTTAGTGCATGCTGGCGGGCATATTTTAATCTGTTTGATGCGACTACAGTAAAGTTTGCCTATGCGCAAAATTACTTAAGTTCCCATGGTATAGTTTTAGTTTTGAACTTCTCTGGAACCCTTTTGCTATGCTAAGTTATAAAACGCACCATAAAAAACCTTGCTTAACGATTTTTTCGCGCACAATAGCTTCCTAGAAGAAAAAACTAAATCCAAACGGCTAATAAAGATTGTTGTTTTTTTTGTTGTTGTTTTTGCTTTTCGAATAAAAGCTAAACTCGTTATTTTAGACCACACACACAGAACGGGGCTGAGGCTGAGGCGCCCAGAAGCCGCGGCGCACACTTAAAAAGCCAATAAAAAAAACAACAACAAATAATTGCTAATTTTATGCTCGAATAAGAAACGCAAAAGGATCAAAATGGGCACCTCAAAGCAACAAAAACAAGAACAGCAAGGGCAAAACAAGCGGCATAAATTAGTGCGAGCGAAATAGCAATATAGAAACGTCACGCACTATCAAACGAGAAAATGATCAATGGGGGCACATACACCAACTAACAGCGCGGCAGACAAAGACAGAGAGCCGCTGCGAGAGAGAGAGTAAGAGGTAGAGAGAGAGAGAGAGTGAGACAGGGCCACAGCCAGAGCCACACACAGCGAAGCGATAGACCACCCATGACGAAACGACGAATTAAAGGCCACCCACGAAGAGCGAGCACATGTGCATGTGTATGTGAGTGTGCGTGTGTGTGAGTGTCGTATGTGTGTGTTTGTGTGAGTGAAAAGGCCTTTGAAAACAAATTCAGTATTGGTTATGAGAAGGGGAGAGATATGCTGAGAAGATAATTGAAATATGTACAACCTGAACATGTGCGCTGAAGTGGGCACACACAGAAATTTACAAATTTGAAAATAATAAAAAGCGGTCAGACACAAGCACAATAAATAAATAAAAAGCAAACATGTGTCCGCAAACATATAAACATATGAAACAAATAAGCATATATATGTAAGGCAGGGCAAGTGAAAGTGTTAAATTGTGCGGCTACAAATGTTAAATTGTTGTCGTACAATTTCTGTGTTTAAAAATGTTGCATATTAGTTTTTAAAAAAAGTCACAATTTGTTTTGGCAAGCTGTTTTTCGGTTACTTTTCATTCGCAGCGCTGCCAGATGGATGAAAGTTAATGGCACCCTGTGTTGAGAATGTCGATATACCGATAAGTCTCATACAATTGGCAGTATTTGTTTGCCGGCGTTGCTGCTTTTTTTTGTGGCTTCTGTGTCAGCCTCTTTCAACTAGAATTTATAACAAATAATTGTCCACTGTCTCTGATTTAATTTTCAACTTTGTTAAATTTATTGTTGCACGAAGATGCCTCCAAAAAAGGCGCCAGCGGGTCCGAGCAAAAAAACGGAGCAAAAGAAGAAGGAGAAGGTCATCGAGGTAAGGCTCAAATTGCTTGTGCACGTCTGCCCGAACATAACCTCAATTGGGCAGCGACCACGACAGACAACGTCAACAAATTAGGAAATCTTCTTAATCTTTCTTCTTAACAGGATAAGACGTTTGGTCTAAAGAACAAGAAGGGCAACAAGCAGCAGAAGTTCATCCAGCAAGTACAGAAACAGGTGCAGGCCGGTGGTCATCATCCGCGACAGGAAGGCGACAAGAAGAAGGATGAGAAGGAGAAGAAATTGGCCGATCAGCGTGAATTGGCGATGATCTTCAAGCCGGTGCAGACGCAAAAAGTGGAGAAGGGCACCGATCCCAAGTCGGTGGTGTGTGCGTTCTTCAAGCAGGGCCTCTGCACAAAAGGCGACAAGTGCAAATTCTCTCATGATTTGACCCAGGAGAACAAGGTGGAGAAGCGATCGATGTATGTTGATATGCGTGATGGCGACGACGATCTGATGACAAACTGGGACGATGCCAAGCTCAAGGAGGTCGTCGACAAGAAGCAGTCGGGCGAAAAGCAACGACCCACAACGGATATTGTATGGATAATCCTCGATCTTCTCCATTGCCCACATTTATTGAACCAAACATAAATCTTCCTTACAGATTTGCAAATTCTTTTTGGAAGCGGTGGAGAAATCAAAGTACGGCTGGTTCTGGGAATGTCCCAATGGTGAGAAGTGCATCTATCGGCATGCGCTTCCACCTGGCTATCAGCTGAAGCGGGACAAGAAGAAGGAGGACAAACCGACGGAGATCTCGCTGGTCGATCTTATTGAGAAGGAGCGTGCTGCGTTGGGACCGAATCAGACGCGCGTCACATTGGAGTCCTTCCTCGCCTGGAAGAAGCGCAAACTGCAGGAGAAAAAGGAGAAACTTGTCGCCGAAGAGGAGCGCAAGAAGAACGACTACAGCAAGGGCAAACAATTTGGTATATCGGGTCGCGAAATGTTCAGCTTCAATCCCGATCTGGTCGACGATGGTCCCATGGAGGATGGTGACGCTGCCTTCGATATCTACAATCGTGACGAAGATGACGATGATAATACGGTCGAGTTTAAGGAACTCGATTTGGCCGCACTCTCGCTGGCGGCAAAGGAGGTGGACGGATCCGGCACCATTGCGTCCAGCACAAGATTGCTTGATCAGGCAACTGAAGCAGCGAAAACCGCACAGGCCGAGGATGCGGCGCCAGCTGCTTCAAGCGTTGATAGTGAGCCCGCCATCAATAAGGATCTGTTCGTTGATCTTGATCTGGGCGATCTGGATGATATAGATCTTGACGACGACGAGGACGATTAGGCAGCCCGATTAGCCAGCGAATTTAACGCATTGTTAAAGTTTTGATATTTGAATTGAAATGCAGCATAAACACACAAACACACACCTAATGAATTCTGCCTTTAGCAACTTTCGATCAATAAAATTGTGGCTTTCACAAGTTCGCTAAGAAATGTATCCTTTTAAGCTAAGTTTTAATATACATTTATATTTTTTCACACAAAATTTACATTAATTGTTAGGTACTAAAAAAAATTCACGTCCTATTTTATGCATCTTGCAGAAGTTGGTTCATTACACGTTCATTCCAAGCGGTAATTACCGAAGTCAAGCGCGAAAGAGCACGTATATCGATCCTCCCGTTTGCCACCATTCGCCGCAGTTTGCGCATAAACCAATTCACTTTTTTGCTCCTCGACTGAAATACGTAATTGAAGGCATTTTCCTCATTGATAAATAACTGATTTCTCATCGCATTCCTTCCATTTCCCACTTGCGAACAATTCCGTTTGCAATTTCCTCTTTTTGAATGCTTTTTGCAGTTGTTTTGTTTCTTACTTAAGCATTTCGATCTAGATGAGCAGTTGCCGCGAACCATTCTTAGTATAATATCGTATATTGAATAATTCTGAATTTATACAAATTTTGAGCATAAATTATAGGTGTCAAAGTTACATATATATATATTGTATATATATATAGTTAAAAGTCAAATATTGATAGTTGAGAGCCAAAAAGGCATGTAAAATTGCTCATAACTCGTCCATTTCCTCATGGATCTTGTTGAGTCTAAATCTTTTCTGTAAATTTAGTTCGATAGAATTCGTCCCTGTGATTCTAGCTAACCAATCCCTTAAAAGGATTTGGCAGAGACATTTGTCGCTGACTAAAAAGGATCGTTATTTTTAGAAGCTAGACATTTTTCATGGCGATCAGCTGACATTCTTAGGTATTGTGCAGTTCTTTGTTGTACATAAATTTATTTAACAGTAATTTGTGCATGCAATAGAACTAATCAAATAATTCTAAATATAATATTTAAACAAAAAGTGATAGCAATGCAGCTACCAAAAGTTAGGAGGCAGTACACCCACAGCCTGTGGAATTTGGCGTTCACGTAAAAATTTCGAGAGCAACATTTCGAGACGCGTCTTGGGACCGCCCTCATCGTAGGCCGTCAGTTGCGGCATATAGATTGTCTGGATGTACAATAAGAGTTTCAAGAAGTTTCGGCCATAGGCGCGCCACAGCTCGAAGCCGAGGGTTTGGAGCATCTCCATGATCATGGTGGCACAGATGTCGGGCAGCGGCGTTACATTCATTATGTGCGTCAGCCAACACCAGGCCTCCTCCAAGCCAAAGCAGTGTGCGGATCCATCCGCTTTGCGACCAGGCGTGATGATAACTGCCGCATAGAGTCGGGCAATTCCCGTCTGGCGCTTGAGAAACATATCCGGCTTTTCCAGCTCATTATTCTCGGATAGACGATAGCCCATTGTCTTCAGATATTGCTCGGGCGTCTGTCCCGACTGCTGGGGTATTACGTACGGCACCAGATACGGCGACTCCTTGTACATGTAGGCCAAGAAGATCTTGCCAAAGTCTGGCAACAGTCTCCAAAACGTAACAATCACCGAGGCAAATGGAAACGCTGCCTGAGGATTACTCGATATGGCTGTGTCCGTTTGGCTAACGAACTTCTTGGCCATCAGTAGAATGCAATAGTCTCGCGCGAGTGGATGATCATTGATCGTAATCGTTGTTCCGTCCGTTGTCCTCACCGGCTGTCCGGCAAAAAAATTGTATAACTTATCAAAATTGGTCGTCAGATGTTGGGCACTGGCCGCTGTTATGGCATTCAGTGGCACGTTGATCGTGCGCTGGCAGTTGGTGCGATACTTTTTCCATGCCTCGTCCGTTTGCAGGGGCTTCACTGCATCCACCTTGCCCTGGTAGAGCGCAATGATCTCGTTATAGAAGGCCAGGCGCGTGGGATGCACATAGCTGTGCGAGATAGTGCTGCCAGTAGCTGCTGTTTTTACTTGTGGCGCCGCCTGAGCATTTGCCACTTCTTGTGCCGCAGTCGCTGCTGCCGCTGCAGTTGCAGCTGCAGCAGCTGCATCAGCGGTTGCTTTCCGCTGTGCCGCCTCCAGTTCCTGTTGTTGCTGCTGCTGCTGCTGTTTCTGTTGCTCCTTGGCTTCGAGAATGCGCTGCTTTTCCGTCTCCTCGGCGAGCTGTTTGGCCTTGTTCAGCAACTGTTGTTCCTGCTCCGACAGCTGCTTGTGCAGATTCTCTTTGACTCTATCCAAACTCTGGCAATATTTCTCCGCTTTGAACACACAATCCAATTCGGGTGGCTCACAGTTGGCATTTTTAATCTTAGCCACCAGCTGATCAAACAGTTGCACCAAATCACGCAACTCTGCATTTTGGGCGCTGCATGCTTGCACCGTGTCCTTGTCCAGTGAGAGGAGCAGCTTCGTGACGGTCTCGTATTTCTTGTAGAATCTCTGATGATAACGCGAAACACCCTCGATTGTGAGCAGATGCAGTTTCTGGTTGTTCTGCTTGAGCAGCGCCTCCTGTGCCCGCTGCTGTGTCTCCATCTCCGCTTTGGCCAGCTGCTCGGCCTGCTGCCGCAAATGCTTATCGCTCTCCCATTTTCTCACACGGCTGCTGGCGAGTTGTTGTTGCTGTAGTTCGGCCTGCTTCTGCGCCGCTTGTCGTTCATGGATCACACTCTGCTGCCGTTCCTTGATCTGTTGCAGTTGCTGTTGCACACTTCGCCTGCACTCCTGGTCAAGTTCTCGCCGCACAATGCTGGCATTTATCTCGTTCACATCGGGAAAATTGCCAACGAAATCAACTGAAATTGCTTTCGTTTTTGTGTTCTCTTTCTCAACTGCAGTTGGCACAGGCAAAACGGATGCTGGCTCCTTTCGAACCTCCTGTCGTGGTGCTTTCAAATCCGGTCCAATTGTACGGGGTCCGGTGCCGTAAAGAGAAACTAAAGCCGCTCGTTGCAATACGGCTTGCACACGATCCCAAACCAAATCATCCACGCTCTGCAAGCAATTGCATGCTCTTAAGTACATACACAATACTTATTAGGATTCAGAGTAAACTCACCATGTTTTTTTTTTATTTTGAGATGTGTTTATATAGTCTTTGTTTAGTATTATACAGTGTGGATATTTAGCGATCTGACGCCGTCGAGGGAAATAAAAATCATATAGAATTTAGAGATGGGTAGCTGTAATTCATTTATGAACTAGTTCCAGTTGGTAAGCAGTTGAACTTGTATTGCATTTCTTTGAAATTGGTTTTTAATTTAATAGGAGGCGACCATTTGATTATATTAAAAATAATTCTTATTGTTTTAAATGTTTAATTTTTAAGCAAAGCAGTGATTTGCATCGTTCATTATGACCAGCATACACAATTTGGTGAACCGATAACATCGATGCATGGAACTGGGCTTAAAACAATCGATATCTGTATAATTTAATGTATTTTCGATCGCGTAAACAATAAGAACATAATAAATTGAGGGTTGCATTTAAAGCTATCCATATTTAAAGGACAAGTACACATTTAGAAAAATTTTGCTCCATAACTGCCATCCATTTCAATTAGCTCACATTTGCCCTTCTCCTCGAGCAGACGCAAGGCATTCAGTAGCACAGCCTCGTCCACATCGTGGAACTCCAACTGGGTGGTATTCTCACCCGAGGCTATCTCGTACAACGTACAAATGCTATTCGTTTGTCCAGTCTCCTGAATCCAGTCATAGACCATATTTCCGTATTCCTCCAGTGTGTGCCAATACACCTGCCACTCCTGCCTCTTTTTATCCAGCGGTGCAGCATGTCCCGTCTGCTGCAATTGCTCCAGGATTAGCTGGATGAACTCTGGCGAGAGGCGGCGATTAATTGATTCATTACAAAATAATGGCGAGGTTTGATCGTTGATGCCAAGCGTAAATTTATTGTTGTGTTTGAGGTATTTGAGAAAGAGATCTGTCCACACCTTAAATTGTTTCTGGCGTGTTTCCTCATGCGGCTGCAGACTGTGGACACATTGTGAGTTAGCTAGTTAGCCAATTTGTTGCTATTAAAGTTACTTACGTGAAGAAAGGTGGAAATGTGTATTCCCACGGCCATTGAAACTCGGCCATTGTTTGGCTTAGATTGACGTCATATAATTTAGCAAAGCTCAGCTGTTTAACTAGAGTTGCCATCAAGCAGTTATATATCGTTACTAATAGCGATAGCCGATAACATTCAATATTAAGCGCGTCACAACGAATCAATTTAAACTGTCATCGCAAACACGATGAGACTGTTGAATATTTTCACTTTTCTGCTTTATTTGTCTTAAATAGAAAAATTGTGTACATTAACATTTTTATTCCATACAGTTTGAGTTGATCTCATCTTTGCTATTATTTGTTTTCATGCAATTCTTACATTTTCATCCAAAAGTAAACATGTAGAGACAAAAAGAAGTTTGTAGATATCGGCATTTTGCTTTGCATCATATTCATAAATATCCATTTACATATACATATACTCATATCAGCTATATATTCGTGTTCAATATATTTAAAGTACTAGGAGGCGCAACACTATACATTCAATATTTCAGTTTCTTTGTTTGTTATTTTGTTAATATAGATTTTATTAGTTTTCTCTTAATTTTGCTTTACCAGCTGCTTTGCCTTATCTGCATTAATATACCACTGCCTGTTGCCATTATTCATTTTGCAATCCATTTTATATCTATTTAAATTTAATGCTGTTAGTAAATTTACGTTTCTTTACTTTACTTTTCTTCTTCTTTATAAAAATTAGGAGCATCGTGTGCTTTAGAAGTAATTTTCTGTGTTTTCTTGTGCTGTATATTTTGGTTTCTTATTTGCTGTGTTCCAACTGGCATTTGAAGTAGGCTTGATTTATTTATTTAATGGTAATAATGATATTTTTTGTGTGTTCATGCTGTGGGCTGAAGGAGGAGAGCTGTGTGCAGGCAGTTTATATTTAGTTAACGCATACATTGCGTGGTAAATACGAAATATTTGTTTAGTATTATTATGTTTTTGCACTTTGCTTTTGCCTTTATTTGGTTTTTTGTACACTTGCGTGGAAATTCTCTAGAGCCATCCACGTCGGGAAACAAAGAGTGTCTCTTGTGATAGTTCAGTTTTTGTGTTAGCTAGTTTTAAAGAGTTTTACAGTTAGTTCCTAGTTAACAAGTGAGGTTCGGTTGAAATCTTTTTTGTTTACTATATATGTAAGTAGGTATATGTTACTCTTCTTTCGGTTTCGCTCCAATTGTGGAGTTATGTACTTAGCATGCTCGTGTTGCTATTTCTAAAGATATTTATATATAGCAAAATAACATTTTCTTGTCTCGTACACATAGTAAAGCGATCTACTAATTCTCTTTATTTAAAAAAATAGAATAAAGAAAATTACAAAATAAATGCCCTATATCTGCTTGCTGTGCTTAAAGCATATTGATGAAAATGTACACTTGAAATGCTTTGCTGGTTCTCTTAAAATTACCTTTAAATGAAATGCAATAACAAATGGCATACAAATCGAATCCGAAATCAAAATAAAAACAATGCGCATAAGATTTGTTTCGCATGTCGGATCATCACCGTTGAAAACAAAAATGTCTGTGCATCATAGCTTAATTTACAGCACGTTTCGAAAACATGTTTTCAAAAAAATTAAAAATTTAAGGTCTTCTAAAATTTTTGTGTTTTTGGTTTATAAATTTGAAACAAATCTCAAGCTTAAATATATGTATGTATCTTAAGCTCTTAATAACCGAACAGAGAATCAAATAAACAATAGACAGCTTATAAATTACATAAAATACATAATACGCTCGCTCTAAATATCATTTACATACAGTTCTTAGACCTCTTACACATACGGTATTTATTATATAATATGCATTGTTATAGTTATTGGTAAACTATTTAAAAATGGCATGTGGTCGACATGTATGCGCTTCACATATCGTTAATAGATATTACATTATACATATACATACAGTACATACATTTATTATATATCGAGTTGGTATAAATCGAGACACGAGCATTCCATTCCGACAACATCCATATTTTGCATTTGCATATTGAATTTTAGCTTGCTCCGCATTGGTTGCTTGGTTGGTTGGTTGTTTAGCCTATGGTCTAATTGAGTTACATATACATATATAAAGTTTTGGGATTCTCGAATCACTGCACGTATAGCATGACATGACAGCATGTTGTTTCACACATATGCTCCATATTTCGACTAACGACTAATACTAGAGATATAGCTAAACCTAAGCTACAATTTTTGCCTAAGACGACGATCGGTTTCTCTCAGCCAACTGCCAACTGCATTTTTGTGGAGGGCTGCTTGCTCTGTCTGCTACTGCTACTGCTCTTGATGCTGCTGCTGCTGCTGATGGTACACCTTGATGGTCCTCTACTTGGCCAACGGCTCCAGATAACAGCGTACCGTATTATTCTCATCCAGCATGGCGGATAAATTACGCGCCTGCTGCTGCTGCTGATGATGGTGGAGTTGTGGTTGCTGGTGCTGGAGATGATGGTGTGTGGGAGCAGAATGTTGCTGTAGGTTGCTGTGTGATGTGTGCGACGACGATGATGTGGTGGACTGCGGTGATAGTTTCTGTAACTGCTGACGCTTCTGTGCGGGCGTCTGATTGGCCGGTGGCAGCGGCGGTCCTGCATTACCATGGCCAAATAGCTCGTTAACCGCCAAGCGTGCGCTCGGTGACTTGGCATTCAGCTGCTGCTGCTGTTGCCTGTATGCGCCACGCATGGAGCCCTCACCAACGCCGCCGCTAACCCCAAAAACCGCACCATTGTGCTCAATGGGATGGGCGATTGTTGCTCCTGCCGATGTTTGCGGTGGCGCTCCATAATCTAAAGGCAAGCCATTCTTGCGCTGCTGGCGTCTGCAAATTTAATTGAAATGAAGAGTTTATTTTTTAATAAACATAAACTGATTATCAGAACTTACTGAAACCGCCGCTTAAAATCCTCATCCTGGAGCGCCATTAGGCGACGCATGCGCTCATCACTTTGAGGTGGCAATCCATGCGTATCATCATCATCCATATCGCTCTCATTGTCCTCATCATCACAGACGCTGTCGTGCAGCTGCTCCGCTGCGGTCACCTCGTCGTCATACTCATCATCATCATCGTCGTCGTCATCATCATCATCGGCTGCACAGCGACGAGGCGGTTGTTTCTGCTTTGCCTGTAGTTGCTGTTGCTGGTTTCTGGAGGTGACGCTGCCACCACTAAGGCTACCACCACCATAGCGACTCCCGCCGGCGGCAACTGCGGCGCGCATGCTATTAAATACGCCCGTGCCGACGCTATTGTTGTACACCTCATCCACATCAAAGTCACCCACTTCATAGTGCTGGGCATCCGAGTTGCGGTTACTCAGTATCTCCTCGTAAACGGGGCCATCGCCTCCGACGCCGCCGCCATTGCTGCTGCCGCCACCGCCTTGATTGTAATAGGCATCGCCGCCGAGTCCCTGGCCCATGCCCATGTTCATGCCCAAGCCGATGCCCTGGCTAAGATCACAGTTGGAATGCTTATTTCTATACTGTTGGCGCTGCTGTTGCGCCAACAACTCCTGCTGATACTGCGCCATGTGTGGCGGTGGCGCTGGCAACTGCTGTTGTCCACCAGCACGTCGCTGCTGATGCTGCAGATGCAACAGGTGTGCCTGTTCTTCATCCGAAGATAACTGTTGCTGTTGTTGCTGCTGACGTTGCTGGCGCAGCTGCTGCTGTTGCTGCAGCTGTTGCTGATAGTAGGCGGCATTATTGGGTGGGTCCAGTGCCTCGGCATAGTGTGGATACGCTTGCTGGGCGGATGGTGGCGGCTGTTTCATGCCGCTGGTCTTCTTATATGATGGATAGAACAATACCTGCGAGGCAGGCGTGACGCGACTATGCAGCGAGCCGCTGGGTGAGGCGGGCACAGCGCCAGCGCCGCCTCCTCGCTTCTTCTTGCCATGCTGGTTATTATGCTTCTGTGTCCAATAGAACACCTCATGTGATTGCTGTGGCGAAGCGCCACCGACACCGACACCGCCACCGCCACCCGGAACTCCCGTATTGTTGTAGTATTCACGCTGTCCACCAGCCTGCGGATGCTTCCAGCTGTAGTAGTCGGGTTGATGATAATAGGATTCGCCTGGCTGTTGCTGCAGCTGCTGTTGATGCTTGTGGGCAAAGATCAGATGCGTCGAGCCGGCTGAGCTAGTGGGCGATGCATGTCCCACGCTGGCCATTCCCGTGGAGCGCAGTGTGCCGCGCTCCAGCACAACCGCACCAACTGGCGTCACCGGCTGCAGGCTGCCCGCAAGCAGGCCACTCTTTAGTGTGCGTCGCTGCTGTGCTTCACTTAGTTCGCAGTCGGAACCAGCGCCCATAATTATGGCATCTTCATTAGCTGGCTGATCATGCTGATGCTGCTGCTGATGTGGTTGCTCCTCATCGTGACCATCATCGCTCGAGCCCAGTGGCAATTTTGACTTGGACTTGGAAAGAGTGCCAGCAGAGTTGGTAGCAACACCACCGCTGACACCACCTGGTCCTCCATTGCCGGAAACAATGCCCGAGGAAATGGATGTTTTGGAGCAGCGCAGGCACTTTGGGAGCCAAGCATGCTGACGCACATATTTACGATACTCGCGCCGTATCTTCTCGTTCTGTATGCAATGGAACACAAAGATGTATAGGCCCATCAGCGTATTGAAACAGACAAAGCAGTAGCCATAGATGGCGGCCACATCCTCATCCAGTTTGGCGCCGCGTAAATAAAAGTAGGCACAGCACCAATCGGCGCTCAGCAGCAGCAAAAACACGAACGAGCAGCGTATGTCAAATCTAGAAAAACAATAAATTATTAAATTAAAGCAAGTGTATCGATGTCATAGACAGAGAATAGAGACGACTCCAACATACCGCACATTGGCCAGACGCGTGTGCTCCTTGGTCTTGAGGGCAGTGCGTGACTTGCGTCGCATGATGATCCACGACAAGAAGGTGTAGCTAATGGCCGCCTGTTCAGAGAGTATCACGGAATTAGGCAAATGCTTTCAACTGTGGGTTTTTCTTTTAACTACTTCACACAAAAACCTACCACAAAAAAGATCAAAATGGGGGCCACAAAGGTGACATAGAAGAGCGCATTGGCTTCCATTAGGACGCAGTAATCATTTCGTAGTGTGTAGGTGCTCGGATTGATGCCCAGTGAAATGGCAACCACACTCAGTGAGAGGCCATAGGACAACAGATAATAGCAATTCACCTTTGGCGTCTGATCCACCTCCAGCAGCAGCTCATCCGAAGTGAGCGTTGAGTACGAATGGAAGGCTGTGTTCGAGTTGTGTGTGAAATGTGGATGGATGGATGGATTAAAAACTGCGCTACGCTGCCAGATTGCCCATTAGTGCTTACCTTCATAGCAAAACCAGGCGGTGCCCGAGAGTATGGCACAGTGGAGAAAGACGGTTATGAACCCACAAAATATGCTTGTTTCGGTCTGTTCGATTCCCAGCAGAAAGAGCAGCTCAATGGCCAGCAGGCAAATGTAAATGCTGCTATAAATCGAGGTGCGTGCAGACTGCAGAAACAGAGAGTGCGAAATATAGAGATAGACATAGAAAGAGATAGAGAAAGAAAGAGGGGAGAGAATGAAAATTCTGATAAGTTTGAGTTTGTCACAAAAAAAATAGTAGAGCTTTAAAAAATGCGAACGAGGAGGAGCCAAGCAGAATTTGGAATCTGTGTTGAGAATCACTTCACAATTCGATTACAAATATTAATTCCGTTTCCACGACAAATTTTGCCTTGAACTTAATTTAGTTTACAAATAATTTTGGTGGTTTTTGGTGGTGAAAATATCCAGAAAATAAGTAAATAATATGACTAATACAACATTTAGCGCATATAAATAAAAAGATAATAGAAGGTATATGAATGTAGAAGAAGACACGAAACAAGCAACACAAATATACAAAATACTACACAATGAATAAACACAAATACATAAATATTTACAAGACAAAATTAAAAACAATTTTTTTTTATTATTATTTAATTAAAATACACAAAGAAAATGAGCGAAATGACAAAAAACGAAACTAAATGCATAAATATGATCTTGTTTTAAGTTAATTTTTGTTAGAAAATGAAATGCACATAAAAATTAAACATTTGTTAAGATTAAATTTTGAAGGTACTCACAACAAACGTTTTTAAAGCATGCCAAAAATGATATATTATTAAATGAAAGAAGTTTCACACCTACGTTAAGGAAAATGCGCTAAACTTAATTGAACTAAACACGAACTAAGTAAATAACTATAGCTAAACAGATGTTCTTCAGTTTTTAGCAATGTGAGGTTTAAATAAATTTTCATTTAAAAAAGATCAACTAAAAGTTGGATCAACGCTTAAAAGGTTACTTATAATCACGAATAAGCCTTTCACTAAAGTCTTCTTCTGTTTGGAAATTGTGTTAGTCAAGGTTTACATATACAAAATTTGTGTTACTTAAGTTTTATATCACATGTGCAGATATCGTCCAGTGAAGGCGTCTCTTTGCAATTCTATATCTAGCCTTCAGACAAATATAAATATATATATATATATATGTCTAATCTATGCTGTTATTGTATTCCTAGTATATCCTAGCCTAGCCTAGCCTACAATTGTGTAATTGTGTGCTTATTGTTTTCACCACCACCACCACTTATATTGCAAGTCATCCATATTAGCCTGCATTATAATGTTGTTCGAGTCCAACGCGTTGCTGCCACCATCCACATTCAGATTGTGATTGTGTTGCTGCGTATGCTGCTGTTGCAAGTGTTGTTGTTGCAGGTGTTGTTGTTGTTGCTGCTGCTGCTGTTGCTGCTGCTGTGACTGTTGTCGCGCCTGCAGATAATTGTGGCTAATGTTTAAATTGTTGCTTGCGGCGGCAGCATTGGCAGCAGCTGAGCCCACATTTGCCGCATGTTGCTGCAGTGCAGCAGCAATCGATGCAGCCGCTGCAGCAGCAGCAGCTGTTGTCGTTGTGGTCGCCGCATTTGCTGCACCTGTTTGCGGGCCGTGTGCATGATGTAAATTAAGATTTAGATTGTTCATTTGCATGCCACCGCGTTGCGTCTGATTTATGTTATTGTGACTGTGCGAGAGCACCACTGCCGCAGCGGCAGCAGCAACCACCTGCTGCTGTTGTTGTTGCTGTTGCAACTGTTGCTGCAGATTATAGTTTAAATTGTTGCGATGCGAATTGCGTATGGAGTTGTGCTGTATGAAATTCGTGTGCTGCTGTTGTTGTTGCTGCTGAATATTGTTGTTGTGATTGTTGTGGTTATTATTGGGGCCAGTTGGCGCAGTCAGTGTTAGAGATTCGTGTGTCTGATCGCGTATATTATTCTGCTGGCGTCTGCTGCTCCCCGCCCGCTGATGCGGCAGCTGGGTGGAATTTGCGTTTCTTACCTTGACGAAGACCCCGTTGAAGAGCTTGAGCGTGAGCAACGCTATTATGATGAAGACCACGCAAATCGCAACGCTAATGTAGATAAAGATGCGCATATTGCCATCGAACATTGTGAATAGCGAATGCTGATGCTCATCGACGACATCCATAAGTATCGCAAAGTTGGTCAAATGATTGCAACTGCAAACGCTGTGCGTGCGATTTGTCGACTCCAAACTGCAGCCATTGGCGGACCAAGCGCTGTAAGTGTCAAAATATAGATATATGTGTTATATATCAGAGTTGGATTATTAGTTGTGTGTTCATGGAGTAATTACTGGTCAATGTAGTTCCAAAATACGCAGGTGGGATTGCTAACGTTCTCCGTCTTCAGATGCTTCAGCACCAATTTAATTGGCTGCGACAGTTGGATGTGGCGTCCCTTGCCCAAGCTGGCGGATATCACCTTGCTGTTGAGTATGCGAACGCGCTGCTGCATCTCTCCAGCATTTGTATCGCTATCGTTGGACAATATTGCTGTATTGCGCACTGCATCGAATGAGAGAGAGTATATAAATATATATATATAAGGTATTATTTATTAACCAACTTACCATAACTACGTGCGCTCTTTAAATCGAAATGATCATAACTGGGCTTGAGTATCGACTCCAAGCGATCGAAGGCGGCAAACACAATGCGCACCAAGCCACCCTCGCTGTTCTCCTTCAGTGCGGTGCGCGGCAGCTCAATGCGATCGGAGCTGAGTGGCCACTGATCGGAGTCCGGAAAGACGACATTGCCCTGTATAGTTTTTGTCTCCAAAACGCGAACAGAGAGCACTGCAGCAAATATATATAATTAAGTATACATTGAGAATACCAACTAATGTTAATAATGCCGAATACTTACATATATTTTTGACCTTCTGCACCACATTACGCTCCCGGATGATGGTATCGGCAAGTAGAAAGGCATTGTATTCCAAGCCAGTTAGCAGGGAGGTGGCAACGCGCATTTGATCCTCCTGATTGAGATCCAACCAGGATGAGAGTTGTGATTCGTCGAGCAGATTTGATCCAGTTTTGACAACGCCATGCAACAGCTCCATAATGATTGCCTCGCGCTGACGCTGATCGGGAAAAGTTCCCTTGTCGTGCAGCATCTTCTCGGACATCCTCTGTATGATCTTGGTGGTGACAAGCATGTCGCCGCCATAGAGCGTCTTGCTGCTGGTCACCTCGGACAGATCATTGGCAATTGAAATTAACGACGAGTCCTGTTGATTGACACGCATCTCGAGGCTATTCAGCCACAGACTGCGGCACTGCGTCAAATCCGGTGTTAGTGGATGCCACGTGGGCTCAAAATTGCGCAGTCGCTGATTCTGATTGACTTTGTGGGCCATGCTTACGGGTGGCTCGCAACTGCTGCTGTTGTGCAGACAATCACCGCCAGCACTGGACGGCGGCGGCATTGGCGTTGTGCTGCTGGCAACTGGCATCTCATCATCGTATTCATCGTAGCCCGCATCGGGCACTCTCTTCATCAGGACACAACGCCACTTGGCGATGCCAGCGGCGCCGCCTGGACATGGTTGTACATTGACGTCGCCCACTCGTGTCATGTTCCAGAAGAGATTACGTGCATGCGTCGGTCCGCAGAATAGCTTGGACTCATCTTCTGCACCCATGCCAGCCGCATTCAGATTAATGTTGTTTATGGTGCGCACCACGCCGCCACCTGAACCAGGTGCAGTGCCTCCAATGCCTAAGCTGTTGTTGTTGGCAGCACTAGCCGCTGTGCCGGGCGTGCGATTTGGTGAGCTCTTGGTGGTCAGCAGTGTGCCATCGTCACTACCGCCCCCACCTACTCCAGTCAGAATGCGTGTATTCGACGGAGCTGTGACATTGCCAGCACTTCCACTGCTGGACTTGGTGGGTGCGGTGTCATCGGTGTGATGATGATGATGATGCAATTGCGGCGGTGGTCGCAATCCATCGTGTCGTCCTCCTGGATGCTTAGTGGTTGCACTCGTTACTCCCTTGAGCCTGCCACCCGGTAGCATTGCCGTGCTGCTGCTGGGCGTGGCATGCGTGGGCGGAACACCATTGATGCCATGAATGCCCACAACACCCGGCAGCGTGGGCAAACGCGGCGGCGGCTGTGGCGTTGGCTGAATTAGACCGCTTCCATTGCCAAAAATGGGCGGACCATTGCTGAGCACCCATGGCGGTGGACTTGGCCTATTCGTGGTCGTCGAAGTCTGCGCTGCCGAGATGCATTGATAATGCGCCTCCAGATACTTGTGCGTGCCGGGACATGGATCACCGAACATGCTCGTGGCCGCCAGAACACTGCAGCTTTGCTTGTGCGAACATCTGCGAATGCACAAAGCGATTCAATTGATTAGTTATCGACACTTATATTTACAATTGGCATACAAATTGTTCACATAAATCATATTCGAGACTTACTTTGAGTTGAGCACTGTGAGGCTTTTGGGAAACATGCAATTAACGCTCCACTCCACGTTGCCGTGATCATTGCAGATGGTTATTGAGAAGCGTCCGTAGTTGGCCCGTATCAGATTGATTAGGTCGCCCGGTTCGCATTCAATGGTGAGTTTCTTACCTTCGCAGGCGTAGGCTGTTTGGTATTTGGGTGCTGCAATAATTTCTACATGAGTTTGATTGATGCATATACAGTTTTGCGTACATATAGTAAATATAATAAGAATATATAAATGAATGTGGGGACAATAGAGAAAATAGTTATTAGCGCTGCGTTGATTTGTTGTAGTTTGGTTTTGGTTTGGTGTGTTGAATCTGTAAAGACACTTATTGGCTATATTTGAAAGGGCGATGCGGGGCATATACAAAGGTAATGTGGATATATCATGATACACGCTTATTACGCTGCCTGCGATATACTTAAGATGTGTGTTGGGTCGGATCGTTAGCGATGCTTTCTAGCAAGTAGAATAGTAGTCATAAATACCAAATCCTGCCAGGCACAGCTCCACTCAACTTGCGGATCGGCCCTCGTTCCGAGTCTTATCGTTTGCCGTCTCGTTAACAGTCGCTGGCCGAGTTTGTTGAACTGTAATACAAAAGTTGTATTTGTTTTTATTTGATATGCTGATAAGAAATTTGACACGACAAGCGGACTAAATTAGTAAAACTAATTGTTGACTTTACAACTTTTGTTGCATTCAGTTCTGTAAAGATTCGTTTAAGTGAAGAAGTTGAAGCTAAAAATTATATTAAAGATATTTATGCTTTGGGCTGCATTTCTTTTTTTAATATAAGTTAAATATTACATTTATAAGTCCGCATAAAAATGAAATAAATAGAACTGAAATAAAGCAGCGGATATAGAAAACTATATCTATATCCACAAATGCCTAAGCCAATTGAATTTGTTCTGATTTAGTTTCAGTTACATTGTTCAATTATGGTTTGTGGTGTCTGATTTTTGGCCACAATGAAAATAATTCAGTTGCATGACCTAATTAGGGGTTAAAGGTCACTTACCACAGTTCGCACTTCATCGTAAAGCTGCACAGCGAAACAAAGGTTGGCAACGAACCATGAACGGAAATCAGCTAAAGGTAAAAAAAAATAATGGCGATTAGTCACATTAGCCTCTTCGTTTACTTGAGTACATATTTACTTGGGATATCATCGAACCGAAGCAAAGATAAAGAAACAAAGAGCAAACAGCAGATAAACACAAAAAATGGAGTCTATAAATACACACACATATGTATATATAAATACACATATGCATGTATGTTTGTTTGTATGAGTTGGTACACACCCTTCATTTGCCGCTTTTCCAACGAAGACTCGACAGAGACTCGTTTTCTTTGTACACTCAAATTGCATTCGTTGGTTGCAGTGCAGTCGGTCGTCTCACATATAGAGAAAAGTTGACGCTGACTGCGCTGCTCAAGCACTTAGCACACACTCACGAACACAATCAAGTTTTTTCAGCTGCAGCAGAGACTGCGCTGCCTTGGCCAGCGGAGCACCCTGGCTGGCCTTTGTTCTCAGCCCCAGCGTATGATTTTTCAAGTACATTTTTCGACACAAAATTCATGTTTTTTGTTTTGCTTTTCAGCGTCAGTTAGTTGTTTATATTTAAAATTGTATTTTTAAGTTGATTTTGTTGAATATTTGTGTTTTCGTTGAGTTCTTACGGGGAATGCGACTGCACTTGCTGACGTATGCGCTGTATCTAAAATCGGTGGAGTTGGTTGTGAAAGTCGCTTCTGAAGAAAAACTGGTTTTGCTTTGAATTCCTAGTCGAGTTTATTGGTCACTCTTTGCTATTAAGTGGTGCCTTTAATTTAATTGATTATTTCACTCAATGGTTGAATAGTTTATTTGGTTTATTTTTCCAATAATTTGATCAATTAAATATGTTTATAAAATGACGTTTTCACATTTTTTGGGGACTTCACATCACGTACGACTTTCTTTCAGAAAAATTCTGTATACTCAAATGAGCCGTGCTCAATGTGTTGGAGAAGGACGGCAGTATGCAGGGGAAATTTGGTGCTGCCAACTTACTTGCAAGGGCGCACAGATTCAAATTTCTAAATGGGTGCAAGTGCAAGTACAAATAAAGGTTTTCTTACAAAAAATAAGTTATATAATAAAAACACCAAATATATGCAGGGCTAAAATTTTTCCGTATTTACTTCAAATAATAGCAATTAAATCAAACTGAAAATCTCAAGTACACGGTCCTATTGCTATAATGCATAATATAATGAACTTCTTATCAGACAATTTGCTGAACAGAACAACTGAACTTCCTGAATAATAATTGCTATAAAATAGTAATTTGTTTTGTAAGTGTTTAGTGTAATTCAGTATCGCGCTAAGTGCCAACAGTTAAAATCGCGCATTTAAAAATTTATTTATCTAAATCTAAAAGTATTATGGAAGAGCAAAATTATATTATTGTGTTTATCCTAATTTTAGTTATTCCGTGGTCCTTGCAAGCCACAGGAAACGTTTCCACTACTAAGAAAAAGGAACCAATAGTGCATCAACCAAATAGTACACAAATACAAATTCCAATTGCAAATCAAACAGTTACGCCAAAGCCAAAGTTGGCAGAATTTAAAATAGATGCACACAAGACAATCAGCATTAGTAAAGATGATCTCAATGATCTGCTGGACGTTTATATGGATAAATTGGCCGAAAATGCAGCGACCATTCAGCAAAAAGACAACGCAATTAATCGATTGCAATCCAAGGATAAAATCGATGACGATCAGCTTAAGCAATTTGAGGAACTATCTACAGTATGTAAAGCACAAAATGTATCTATGGGACTGATTTTAACCGAAAAAGACGAACAGATCAAGAGTTTGCAATTAAATAGCAGCATTTATGAAACGCGATTAAGAAGAAAACAACATTTGCTGACATTGTATAAAAAACAAAATGCATCTAATGCAGCAACGATAAGCGAACTGAGAGCTAAAATAAAAGCTTTGGAATATAGGATCAGGGAGAGAAAAGATGATTTGCTTGCCGATTGGGAGGCGGCTACAAATAGTTGCTTGCCCTATGGCAAATCCTTGGGTATCCACTTGATACAGCTGCCAGATTTTCGACCATTTCTCGTGCCCTGCGATGGTCTGTCTGCAGCTGGTGCCGGGTGGACGGTTATCCAGCGACGCTACGATGGATCTGTTGACTTCTATCGTAACTGGGATGGTTATCGCAAGGGATTTGGTAAACTTAATGGCGAGTTCTTTCTGGGCTTGGAGAAACTGCACAGATTGACCACATTTCAACCCCATGAACTTTATGTATCGTTACGTTTGTTCAATGGCACAAAACGATTTGCTTTGTACGATGACTTTGTTATTGGCAGCGAGAAGGAGGGCTATGAGATGAAATTGCTAGGTCATTATCATGGCAATGCGAGTGATGCAATGCGTACACATGATAAGATGAAATTCTCCACATACGACAGAGACCACGATGAGTTCACTCATATCAACTGTGCTGCATATCATCATGGTGCTTGGTGGTATGATTTTTGTTCCCGCAGGTAGGTCAACGGTTTATCTAACTGGTAATATCATATATTTAATATTCATTCCACTTTTCTAGTAATCTCAATGGCAAATACTTTAAAAGACAAACGGATAATGCCGAGGGCATTTTTTGGGATCGCTGGTACAGCTTCAAATCTTTGAAGTCTGTCCAGATGCTTATACGGCCAAAGAGCGCCAAGTTTAATTAATCCATGAAAAGGAACTATCAATTAATGTTAATAAAAGAAATATATTTCATACAATTTTGTATTGTGGATCAGTTGTCAATTTGCCGCCGTTTGTTTGATAATTATCTCGGCTGAGAAATAAGCCACCCAAAACATTTTGTAGCGTCTAATATTTCTACGCCCATTATTTCTCATTATTCTGTTTCTGCTACAGTGTAAATTTTATTTTTATGTCTAGCTTATAATTTTGGATTGTTAAATTTGATGGCATTGTGTTTGTCAGAAGTCATTTGAACAATTAATATTCCATTTTCTTGTAATAAATAAGCGAAATCCAATTCAGTTTATGTATCGTTCTAAAGAAAAGAACAAACGGAAATTGGCGCACTAAATGTATATACAACTTTATTAATATATAACATTCATTTATGTATTTTTATATCTATATTTGGATCAAATACTTGAAGTCGTGGGTTTGAATTCCCAGCAATGATATATGTTTAAAGTTTAATTTTGTTTTATATTAATATATGTTGTAAATATATAATATGTATATATGAAACTGGCAGAATAAGGCAGCTCTTAAACACGTCTGTATTTAAAATATGAGCTAGCTGCGATTTTAAAATTTGTATATATAGATCAAGCTTAAAATCTATAAATTGACTTTATATATTTTTATAAATTAAATAACAGTAAATTTGAATTATTATATATATATATATATATATATATATATATATAAATATATAGATTATGTGTATTTTGCACTTAACAATGTTGAGATCGTTAATCTAAAAGACCTTAAGCGTTGACAAATAAGTAAATATATGCTTTATGGATAAAGAGCGGATTATATTTACAAGCCCATTAAAAAATGTATTTAAATGTGATTTTTTTTTTTGGAAACCTAATGCTCTCAACTATCATTAGGGTAATTTACAACATCCACTTATTAATAGAAAATTAAGCGTTTGATTAGCGATTAGGCACAAAGTACTTTCGACTGGTGGGTAATTAAGTAAATGTTGATATATATATATATATATATATATATATAGACGATATGATAAGTACACAGGTTACAAGTAAGTAGCTCAAATAAACCTAATTCTATTTAATTGTTTTGTAAATATCGATGGCGATAGATTATTATTTGTTGGCTGATCTAATCTACGTCTCCTCCTCCTCCTCCTCATCGACATTCACCTCTAGCTCCTCCTCCAATTGCCGGGGCTGCTGTTGCTGCTGCTCCGAATTGTGTTCACGCTTCCGATGCCAGCGTAAACTGGCGAATTGTGCAAAACGCTTGCCGCAAGTGGCACACTTGTACTTCTTAACCGCCAAATGCAGTTCCGTGTGCTTCTTGAGGTTGCCATAGGTGGTAAAGGTCTTGCCGCAGACGGTGCACAAATGCTTGCGTATATTCAAGTGGGCATTCATGTGATCGGTGAAGCGATTCTTCTCATAGAAACCCTTATCGCAGATGGGGCAATGAAACGTGGACTGATTGAGATGCGTGCGCCGATGAATATCGAAGAAGGACCACGTCTTGAAGGACTTGCCGCACAGATCACAGATATAGGGACGCTCCCCGGTATGGGTGCGCATATGTATGGCCACCTCGGTAGAGGTAGCGAATCTCTTGTCGCATTGTTCGCACGCATAGGGAAAGTCCCGACGATGTCGACGGATATGCACCGTTAGATTGCATGGCATTTGGAATCCCTTGCCGCACAGGGTGCATATAAATGGCTGGGTACCATCGTGAGCCGCACGATGCACCTTGTACTGATCACAGGTCTTGATCAGCTCTCCGCACACATCACAGCGAAAGGGGCCGAGATTCGGTTCGAGAAATTGACCCAATTTCGCGTGCAGCAACGGAATACTGCTCGAGCCGGAGGCATTCGTAAGAATTTTACGCTTTTGTGCCGAGTAATCCTTGCGCAGCTCGAACAGCGTCTTTTCAAGCTGCGCAGGAGTATATGAGCATTGAAATGTTGTGTTGAGCTCCTCGAGCATTTGACCCAAAGCCTGACTGCGATAGGCATTTGAGCGAAAATCGGGATGATCCACATCCCACAGAGCTGGATAGTTGCGATAGATCTCCACAAACTGCAGCTGATCGTCGGGGGTGTCAAAGCTAATGCAGCTGGCATTGATGAACTTAGTCCTTTGAATGGTTTCCACGACGCCCTTCTTCTGCAGGTAAACAATAAAAGTTGTTAGCCTTTTAGCATTTTATCTCTAAATTCTTCTTTGAATTACCTTGCTTATCTTGTTGAAGATCTGCTCCTGCAGTATCTTGTGAAGAAACTCCAGATCATCGTAACACCAAAGCTTTGGCAGATAGAGACCCTTGTGCTTGATCACCATGCGCAGTTCCTTGCGATAACGAGTCCGCAACTTTTGTATCTCCTTGAAACACTCCTCGCCGCTCAACTCATAGTTGAGCTCCTCGCACAGCTCCGCCGAGATCTCCCGATACAGCTCCTTCTTGGAGCAATTGTTGTAGTCAAAATGTTGCGGATTCCACAAACTCTCCTGTCGCCGGAAACTGTCAATGATGAAGCTGAGCACCTCACGATATTGAGCCGATTTGGTCGTGGATTCATTATCACTCGATTTCTCGCTCTCTGTAGACTCGCTCTATTTATTTGAGATAAATGTAGGTAGAATGAATATTCATTTGTTAAATATAAAAAAAAAATAAAATCATAAATGGAAATTAAGTATTTAAAAATATATTTTTCTTCCGATTAGTTTTAAAATTATTCTTAATATTTCAAACTATATTGAAGATGCAATAAATTGATTTGAAATGCCATAAGTTCAATTTGGAAAATCAGTGTTTCAAAACTGGGTATAAAAAACTTATATTTTTCTTCTGATTGGTTTTGAATTGATTTTAAAAATTCTTTAAAAGTTCGTAAAGGATGCTTCTTTCACCGATTAGCCGACAAATGATTTTCCCTATCGAATAGAAAGTTTGAAAACTTTGAAAATATTTGAACAGAAGTTTTCACCACAATCGGAAGCTCAAGACATATACCCAACTTTGTCAATTAACTTAAGCGGCAAATAACTTTGGCATTGCATGTGGCATTGTGGCATTGTGGCATTGTGGCATTGTGGCTTACCTTTGCCTCCCGTTCGGCCCGCTTGTGCTCGATGACGCCACGCAAGAAGTGCATTTTTTCAAAGTACCAGAGTCGCGACTTGTACTTGCCACCCAGCGAGTTCAGTTTGCTGAGCTCGCGACGATAGCGACCACGTAGCTCCTTGAGCACCGCAAAGATTTCGGGACCAGTTAGGGGCATCTGGAAGACGGCCTGAAGTGGTGCCGCCAATTCACCGTAGACGCTTCGCTTGGCATTGTATTTGTAGTCGGGATGTTTTGGATTCCAGAGTTTCTCGTTGCGCTCATAGGCCACCAGTAGGGAGCAAACAAACTCTCGATTCCGCTCCAGTTCGCGACGCGTGCGCTGAAGTTGAAGAAGATGCAAACAGTTATGAAGGGGTTGGTGGAGGAATAGCAGGTCACCATTTGTGATTGCATAAGTGGGCTGTTGTATAGGGTATTCTACATTTGCCATAACGTGTGAAACGCATAACAGCTTCGTTAAAGAGCAAATATATACACTCTTGATCAGCACCAATAACCCAGTCGCTAAATATTCATCTGTTCTATGTGCGAACTAGTCACTTATTTTTAGAGCCAAGACTAAGCATGAAATACAATCGTATTTTATTGTATGTGTGAATATATAAATATGTCCATATCAGACCACTATATCATGTTGCATAAACTCAGCAGTTACAAGTGCTACAATAGCTCAAACAATTATTAATATCATTCTACAATATCATTTAGCTGCCAAGTGAGGAATGTTCACAATGATCTGCAAGGGTATTTAAGCATCGGCATGCCGATGCCAGCTGCATTTCTCTTTGTTGATTTTGTTATTATTGTGTTTGGTTGCTCACCAACTTCATGTCGACGCTGCTCGCAACGCTGCTGGTTGGCGAGGTGGGGGGCAGCGGCGTTGGCGGCGTCGCTGGCGGTGTTAGTTCCAGCACATTCTCCTCCTCCAGTTGCTGTTGTAATTGTAGTTGCAATTGTTGTTGCTGCTGTTGTTGTTCTTGCTGTTGTTCTTGTTGCTGTTGCTGTTGCTGTTGCCGTTGCTGCGTTTGTTCTTCTCCATCAGTAGTTGTGGCAGTTTGCTTTTCCGCGTCGCGAAGCTTGCGCTGCATTGCCTGCAAAAGCGAAAAAATCATTCGCATAAGTAAATACATTATTGTTTCTCATAGCTTTGCACACCAGTTCTGCACTCAGAAGCACTCAGTCGATGATCGTTTTCGATAATCATGCAGAGGGTCATATAACTTTGTCGTGCAGTTTACAACTCATGATATAAAACGCCTCTGATCCCATAAAGTATATAATTATATAGTCGCGTCGACATACACATGTCCGTCTGAACTTCCAATTTATCGGTCATTAGATAGTAACTTTCAGGAACGGCCAATCTTTCCAAAGCGGAAGTTTAGATGCTCTTATTTGCCGAAACAAAAAGGCTTTCCATATTGAAATTGGACACCTTCGAGCTACCGCCTTTAAAAGTAAATGGATATTTTAATAACAAAAACTTATGCTATTGCAATTAATCATGTATATATATATATAGTATATATCATATAGTTGCCATGCGAACAATTGATTGAAAGAGTATTTCTTGTGTGAGCATTTTGTTTTCTTTACCAAACTAACCGGAACAAACTAATTAGTTACGAGTTTATATATCATCATCAGCAGTATTGGACTACCATATCATATAGCTGCCATATGAACAATTGATCGATTTTTTAAAGTTTATAATTCAGTTTTGGAGCAAGAGTGTGTAATCTTTGGTGTGCCTTAGTCATTCTTGCTTGTTTGTACACTGCGTATACAGAAAAGGGAAAGTCCCCGCAACCCCCTCATATATCTTGTGGTAGAAGTGAGCAAATATCAGCGGCTATTGGCCTTTGGAATTCTTCACCCTCGTCATCGGCAACGCTTATCGCTCACTGCACAAAGTTACAGCTACATATACAACTACATATATATATATATATATATATATATATATATATATATATATTTATATATATCTTAATGTATACACATTCATACAGATCTAGACATATAAATCTATTGTTGTTTTGGATTTCCTGAAGCTCAAGTTCCCTGAAAATTGTCGTATTTAAAATAAGACATATATATATATATATATATATATATATATATATCTGTCTACAGACTGAACTACAAACATACTTTTAAATTTACTCACACATCAATACATACATTTGTATATTTGTGCAAGCATTTGTATGTTAAGAGTTTTGCTTTGTTGTGAATGAAATCTATGAATAATTCAAGGGCACATCGCATGTGTCATATGAACGCGCTGATTCTTTTTTGTTTTTTTTTTTGTATTTTTTTAGATCAGTTGAAGGGAGTTTCGCAATACCTTTTGTTATCGGTTTTTCGCACATAATAAAAAGAAATGAGATTGTCACCCAAGAAATATATACACATTAAATGGTTGAAAAAAAGAACAAAACCCTTTAGGAATGACACAAAAACTTGGAATACTCTGTACACATAAATTCATATAATAATATTCGGATGTAGAAAAATGCACATAGCATGAACATATGTAGATATTTATGCCCCAATAAATCTAAATAGCTACGTGGGCAATTTCAGATAAGGACAAACAGTGACCAAATGGGAAAGCTGAGACTAATTAAAAGCTTTGCTGGCAAATTATTTACATATGCATTTTAATTAAATCATTAATGCAAAAGTGTGGCACGTGACCGATTTTAAAGGATTCAAAGGGCGGATTTATCAAACAAAATTAAATCACTTCATAACATTTTCAAAAGTGTACAGTGTTTTAGACATTCAAAACTAACACTCGGAAAAGTTCACGTACACTCATTGTATATTTACATATGTATATATATATATACATATATATGTGAGTGTGTATTTATATAAGAAATGTTTGCGTGTGCTGCTGTGTAATTTGGTGAATATGATGCTTCTTCAATGATTCTTCTTAACCGAGTTTCATAAAATTCTTACAGCAGAACCAAATTAACTCAAGGTTTATAAAATCAGGGAAAACAAAATCATGAATTTTAAAAAATCTACATATTTCTGGCACAAAGGGTAACTGAACTTATTATACAAAAAGTATATTTCCAAAGCACAAGGCTGTGTATTTTTAAAAACCAGAGTTTTTCTTTTCTTAAATCTAGCGTAAATTATTAGCGTAAAATTAAGGAAAAATGTATTTTTTCCAGGTTGTTGGTTTTTTTTAATGTATTTTTTTGTTACTTTTATTATTGTAGAACATGAGTATTTTACGATATTATATGTGCAAACATTTTTAATAGTTTCTAAATGTAATTTGGAGAAACTTACGGTTCTACGCTGATTTTTTTTGGGGTCTGCTTTCTCGATTGGAATGATATAAATAATTTATATTGGAAATTTATAAAAATCGATATTTACGCAACGGTAAATTGATCAATAAAATATGTGGTCCACGAGATATGATATATATATATATATATATATATATTCCAATTTTGAGTTGGGTGGACAGATAGCTAAGGTTAAATCGACTCGCTAGAATATATAATATATACCTTATGGGATCGGCGATGCTTCGTTATGTTAACTACTAACTGACACAAGTTAATTATATCTCTTTTAAAAATTTTCCATTCAACATTATCAGGTTATAAAACGTCTGATTTTAAAAACTCAAAGTCAGATGTGAAATACTTTTATTTCCTGTTACGTCAAAACAGTTTCGTTGATAAGCCAAGAGCATTTCCCTTTCTTGTTTGTAAGTTTGTATTTAGGAATTCACATATACATATGTATATATAGTTAAAATTAAGAAGAAAAAAAAACAACACTTGAATTGTAGTTCATTGATATCGAATTACAACAAAGCCAACAATTCATGTTTACAATTTAACAACAGACTGTGTATTTTGTGGTGCGCTTACTGTCTGTATTTATTGGCCAAGTTAATGCAACTCTAAATTGATAATATCGTAGGTTGTTTACATTAATTCAGAAATGCAGAATTATCTAGATTTCACTTGTTATGCTGAGTGGCTTGGGTAACACAATAGTTTTGTTTGCTTTTCTTTTGAGCCATAATCGCAAATTGAAGTTGTCGCCTGATGATTGTCTTGAATTAAAGGCGACAAGTGCCACAATTGTCGAGGCTGTTTTTTTTTGCAGTCTTGGTTTTGTGTTCGTTTTGCAATAATTGCTACGAGAATCAATAAAATTAACGATTGCCTGCACAGATAAAGAAATGGAGTACACAACATGCCTCTGAATTGCTATTCAGTTAATTTCGAGTTATTTATATGAGCTCGTTAAATACCCTTTTCAACAAACTTGCAGTCTAATAGGCTGACAATTTTAAATTGAAGCTTTCCGTCAAAACACAAAAATATAATTGAGTGCAGGTACTGTTCTTAATTAGGGTAGTCCTTGGACAACAAATTGATTGCAGGTAATTTGTCCAATCAGTGCAAAAAGGAAAAGCTAACAAAATTTCGACTGATTAATGACAGCACATTTATTTTCAGTGCCCTTGCCGGTGGACTGTCCAAACCTTGGCCTTTCTATTGACTGAGGCGCAATGGTACTTTTTAGCTAACTGAACAACTCAAGCATTTCCGACCTTGACCTCAATTAAATGTGCAAACAAAATGCAAAAGAACAACAGACAGTAACAAATTCAACAACAATAACAGCCAGTGCATATAAATGTAAAAATTCATTTAATGTCTGCGCTCTAAACTGAAATCCAAATGTCGACAACCAAAAACCCAGCCCGAAATAAACACCCCAAAAAATTAAGCGTAGCAAACTTTGCTGAAATGAAAACACAAATGGAAGTGCTGCAAGACTAAAAGATTCCCTCTATCAAAAATTATATACAAAACTCAATTAAAATTGGAAAAAAAAAATAATAATAATATTTGAAAATAAACACTATTTAATGAATTTTGAATATCCCAAGTGGATTTGAAGAACACAAGCACAAACATAAATCTAAAAATCATTTAAAAATAATCTGAAAATGTATACACAAATCTTCATTAAATACTTTAGCCAATCGGCTATTAAAGTTTTTGACTTTATTTAAAGATCCTCAGATGTTTCCAACTTTTTTATTTGCGTATATCAAGTTATTTTTATCTTTTTACTTTTTATCCTTTTTAGCACAACAAAAACAAGACATATAAATGAAATCAATGAAATTAAATTCTTAATATTGTTAACAATTATGCTATGACAACTATGTTTATATGCCCACTTTTATTTTTAATACAATTAATGTTTTTGTAGCTGGAGCAAGTCTCAACCTAGCGCTAAATAAATAAATTAAAAATGATATATTTGCCTCCTCTAACAGTCCCAAATGGGATCTTTATGACGTAATTGTGTTTTATTTGTAAGTGGATAAAAATTAAACGAAATTAATTAAATCTGACTGATTAAATTGAAATTTAAAAAGACACATAAATAAATAAAGGATATAATATTTCTGGGTGCATTAAAATGTAAAATGCTCCAACATTTATGGCAAGGACTCAGATAGAAAACGTAACCAGATTTAAAGTAAAAAGGAAGGGAGAAGAAACACCCTTAGTACACACTTATTATGGTTGCAGGGTATGCAAAAATGTATGTATTTATTTTTGCCCCTCGCCGAAAGTTCGTTCTGCGGTTTTTGACGTTGTCTGCCAGGTAGTGAAGAGAAACTGATTGCTAAGGGTGGGGCCGTACATGGGTTCTGTTGCATGCCACGTTTACAATATGTATACACAATATATGTATATATATCTATATACATTTATTGGTAGTTGCCGCAAATGGTTTAGCAGCTGTTTGTTGTTTATTTCTGCAGCGAAGGCGCGCAGTTTGTAGAGCGTGCCAAACAATGGCAGAAAAACACTCAGACAGAAACGATGACGTTCGCGATGTGCTCCTAGTTTCAGTGCCCCTCCTCCAAGGGCTCCATTTGCTAAATATTGGGTGTGGTATGTATTTTGTGGCATGGCATGGCGCCATTTTAGGGGGCTTGACCGCTGCCCACTATTGATGGAAATGGGGGCTCTCTCTGCGTCATGGCGGCGTCTGTTTACTGAACACGCAATTGAAATAATTGATCCAGTTAACAAAATTGCATAAAAATTCAATAAAAAAGCACTCACAACAACAACAGCAAACAAAACAAGAGCAACAACTGCCTGCTCGAGTCTCGAGCGAATTGAAACCCGATCGCAGAACCATTTATCGAGTTAGGTTTTTATTTATAGGGTATAATAATTTATTCGTAAAGTTTGTAACGCATTGTAGGAGATGTTTCCGAAACTATGCGTATTCCTGATTAGCCAAGTCGATAAGGCTAACTATTACCCAAAGATCGTGATTCAAATTGGCATCGGTATTTCTGCTGCATGCAATACATTTGTCAGAGAGGGCTGTATCCGAGCAAGTAATAAGTTGTCCTAACCAAACTCTCAAATTATGCATGTTATTATGCTCCTAATTATCAATATCGTATCACCATATCATATAGCTTTCATAGCAAATTTAGTTATCGGTGGGTTGACTCCGATCTGCAAGGGAATATAATCTTCGGCGTGCCTTAGGTTGTCGTTATTAGTCTTGTTTCTATTGTGTTTATGCATATGGTCTCTCTAATGGAAAGGGGTCGAAACTTGTTAGAGCTGTGTAGGGCAGCGTAGGGCAGGGAATTGATTTGTGGAGGGAGAGACAGAAAATCACAAAAGTGTTGGGCAACACTAGAAATATAAATGGACCAACAAATACACTTATGAATGTAATATTATTTTAGAAGCAAGAAGAACCAAATCGGTTCAGTTTTGACAAAGTTATGGCTGTGGAAAATTTCCACGCAGCGATTTTTTATGGTAACATTTTTACCTCTTCTTGTCACGTCAAGTGACAATATTATAAACTCCACTGCAAGGGTATAAAAATGCTATGCAATAAAAGTGAAATAGCTGGAGATGACCTCGTTTCCACAATTAATAATGTAACATTCGAGGACACGGGAAAGTACGATAGCTGACTCAAAGGACAATTCAAAATCGAAAGCCATTTAGCACTATAATCACTCATTGGATTGTGTAACACTTTGGATTGAAAGTGTTTGTTGATAAGTGACATCCGCAGCGCAACACGCGGCGATTACAAAAACATGCACGGCGCAGGCAGGGTGAGAATGAGGGAGACGGAGTCCAAAATGGACTCATCAACCGAGCAGCTGCGTCATCGTTTTGCGACAGAGAGTCGAGTTTATTGTTAACAGTAGCTGGAGAGGAGGTATCTTTCATGCATACAGAAATGCACAGTTTGAATTGAAAATTGGCAAAATTAAAAGAAAAGTAAGAAGTGTTTCTTGCTTTCATAAATCATATTTTATATTATAAAGAAATGTATTTTTAACATGGGTAAAAAAATAGGAGTGCACAATTCAGATTCAGAATTCAGATTAATAATGTTTAATACTAATATAGGTAAAAAAAATAAGAGTAATGAAAGAATTATGTGTTGTTCACATAAAAATAAGCTGAAAATAATATCAAAAAAAATTTGAAATTAAATTTTCTTATAATAAGATGAATTACCTCTGCAATTCATTTTTCTGAGTGTACATGCTCAATTAAAAATGATTGTTTATTGCATTTGTCACTACCAGTAGCACATACATATATACATAAACATAAAAAACAGATACACATACATTCAAGTGTATGTGCGGGTAACGTAATCAATTCCTTTGATGATGACCAGTTTATGGAAGGCAGCTGGCTCTGGTTCTGGTTCTGGCTCTCGCTCTGGCTCTGGCTCCAATTTCTTATGTGCCCCACACAAATTAATCAACAGACATTTCTTTCTCAAATGCAGAGCCAATTGGCTAATTATCAGTTGGGTAAAACGTCACATACACCCTCACCCCATCGCCGCCTTCACCCGCATTCCACCCATTCAATCAGACCTCTAATTAGAACGCGTTCGCTAAGCGGAATGCGTGACTGTAAATGTGGGTGGGGTGCTGTTGTTGGTCTGGGTGTTGGCCTTAGTTTCTCATTCCGTTTTTATATGCGAGTGCAAATAAAAGATTCATGGTAATGCCATTAATACCACGTTTAATACCATTATAAAACACTGCCCCACAAAAGAAAACATCGTGGCTCTAAAACGGTGTCAAACTGTCGAGCATTGCATTGAAGAATTGAAGTTTAGGTTGATTACACAATGGATTGCTTTTTTTTAATATGAAAAAGCTCGCTGTTTGCCTCAGCTCAATTTGGGGCTTAACGAATATGTATGGAATGTTCTTGTATATAATTTTGTTAATGACTGAACACAGGGTATATGAGATATAACAAGGACTTATACTTTCAGAGTATAAAATTGCTCTGTTCGTGCGAGTTGAGTGATTTTATCACTCTAAAATTGTAGGGCAATTTTTATGCTGAGTGTAAGTCGGACTGAATCAAGTAGTTCAAAATACAAGAAAATAACATTTTTTTTTTAAAATAATATTGAGAGCAATATATAAGGTTTTGAAAACCGTAGACTTTATCAATATTGAACTTCAGCTAAATAAACCAGTTTTCATTAAAAAACTCTTATTGAGTTTATCGACTATAAAGCACCTGTCAACGTTTTGTGCCATTTTCTTTGGTCTCGACATGCGTGGCGCTTATTTGTATGCTACATAAACAAAATGGCAAAAATAATGCCATAAAAAATTATAATATGTTCACATGATAATCGCAGGCCAACCACAGCGCAAAAGGCCACAAAACATGCAAGAGTCCAAGCCATTCAATAGCTGAATAGCAGACAAATTGATACCCTAAACAAAATGGCAGAGTATGAAATGTAATATGCTTTTTTTGTGTGCAATTTCTTTTATTTCGTATTTCGTATTTTGTTTTTGTTTTATTCTTAAGTATCCTGCACAACTGCAGCGCA